AGAAGCCTGGTTCTTTATATAACCTTGTGAATCATGCTCTGGGATCGGGCCTGGGGCTGGGGCAGCTCGGCTTTCAGTGAGGCTCTGCCCAGGGACGGCAGGGGCGCGCCCAGCTGAGGCCCGCAGAGCGAAGGAGGCTCCGGTGCCGCGGGGCGTCCAGGGGGGCAGGAGGCTTCGTGGAGGTTCGGGGCGCCCAGGAGGGGAGGGAGCGAGGAGACGCTGGGGTCTGGCAGGAGCCGCAGGCGGAGGACTCTGGGGAGGCATCTGCGGCTTGGCAAAGGGGGGTGAGGGAGCAGGTCTGAGCCCACCGGTCACCTCTGGTGTGCAGCCACGTCCCGGTCAGGCAGTGGAAGGGAAGCCGTTCCCCGGGCTGCCCGGCTGGCTTTTCTGCAGGGGCTGAGTTGGGAGGGCTGGGGGACGGTTCCTTCCTCGTCCGGGATCCAGCCCTTGGGGTCACCTTGCACGGGAGCAGGGCTTGCCTGGCACCTTGCACCCGGCCAAACCCGCCTGCCCAGGGGAAAGCCTTCATCCCGGGGCAGAGCTGGATGGAGGGAGCTGCGGAGGGTCCTCCACGCCTCCTCAGGGGCTTCCCCCTCTTGCTTGAGTCCGTCATCTCCTAGGGAAAGTCAGGGGCTTGCCATTTAGCCCCAGGCCTGATCTGGAGCCCCGGGGAGTCGGGTGTGTGCTGGGAGCAGTTTCTCTGACAGCTCCTCTGCTGCGCGGGCGACCCTAATGCCTCCAGGGGTGGGGGTTAGGTGCCAGCGGGGACGTGGGTGAACAGCAGAGACTAGACAGCCTGTGCCTGTCTGGCATCGCCTCTGCCCTCGGGGCTGGGGGGCATGGGATTACCCCATCCTCCCTCCCTCGCACGCTGGCTCCCGGGAAGCACGAGGCTAGCCGGGCACCTGCAGCTGTGGTGTGCGGGAGGGTGAGTGAGGTCCCAAGGGACTGGCGCAATGCCGGTTCCTGTCCTGGAGCCTGATCAGGCCGGGGGGTGAGTCCGACTCTAGGTGCAGTGAAATCTTCATTCCCGCGAGCGTTTGGAGCCTGCCAGGTGCTGGGTGTGCCTTACACATGGCAGGTCCCAGCTCTTGTTCCCGTGGTGGCGTGGCCGGGGATTGGGAAGAATTCCCGGTCCGGGAATGACCGGGGAAGCCGGCCCAGTCGGAGATGGCTCCAAGCTGCCAGGCTCTGGGCCGAGGCTCAGGCGGGAAGGAAGCAGCTGGCCTAATTTCTCCTGTCCTTCCAGGACTGCAGAGTGTCCGAGAGAGAGAACCAGGTCCTGTTGATCGTAAGTACAGCCCCGGGCGCGGGGCCGAGCAGATCTGGGCAGGGGCGAGGGAGTCCGGCTGCAGAAGCCGGGCTGACCCTGTCCTGTGCTCCAGTGCAGGCATGTCGTGGGCATCTGCGAGAGCATCCTGAGCTGCAGCCCCACGTCTCTCCTGGACCGGACGGCCGTGCTGGAGAGCGTGGTGCTGGACCTGGCGCTGCCCGACGACAGCCTGGTGAGTCGGCTCCTCCGTCTCTCCCCCCAGCCCTGAGATCGGAGGCTGCCTTGGCAGTTGGTCCGACGGCCCCAAACCCCGTGCGTGTCCATCTCCGCAGGGCATCGAGATCGAGTCCACCAGCTCTGGCCTTCACTTCATCTCAGGGACCGCCAGCGAGGTGAGCGAGCAGCCGCAGAGACGCGGGGGTGGAGGCAGCGTTGGATCCGGCCTGGCCGGTCCCTCCACACAGGGAGCGAGGGCGTAACGTGCAGCTAGAGTTGGCCCCCCACATCCTCCCACCTCCCGTGGCCCCAGCTGCGACCTGGCAGGCCTGGTCCCCTGGGCTTATTAGCACCTAATCCCTCTGCCTGAGCCAGAAGGATAGCCCAGCCTGACTGCGACCCCGCTGCAGCCGCAGACGAGACGAGTTGCATGTGCCCCCCCAGCCCAGCCTTCCCCCATCCCCCCGGGCTGCAGCAGGCGGCTCCAGCTGGCCCCTTCCTTCATTCCTCTCCTGCCTGCGATGAGCTGCATTGCCCAAAAGGTCAGGCCAGTGGGTTAATAGTTAATCCCTTTTCCCCTGGAGCTTACGACAGTGAGAAATCTCCTTAGGCCTGGTTAGGCTGCAGTGCAAGTGGCTCTGGATCCCACGGGCTCTTGAGTCTTGCCCTCGTCTCTCTTCTAGTCTCTGGCCGAGCACTGCAGCCAGATCCTGCCGGGGGATGAGCTAGTGCAAGTCGGCGACCAGGTGGTGGTAAGTGCACGCGCCTCCCGGCTGTGTGGGGCTACCCCGGGTCTGAGGGGGCGAGCCTGCAGGGGGGCTGCGATCGGGGCAGGCGCCTGGTGAACTTGCATCTGGTTCAAAGCAGCCAGGAGTTAGCCCAGGGTGTGGGCGAGTCTGGTGGGTCCAAGGCGGGGTTGGGGTCTGTCCAGCCTGGAGGGCTGCTCCACCGTAGACGGGGGCCACCTCCCTGGTTGGGCTTGTTCTGCGCAAGGCAACTCCAAGCAGGAGACGGGATCGGGCTGCTTCTTGCCTCTGCGCCAGGCCCCGTGAAATAGGGGTCACACCCGCCCCCTCGTCATAGAGCCCTCCAAGAGCCTGGGGGGCAGGTGCCAAGGGCTGTGACTTCCTCTTTACCCAAGACCTGGGGGGTCCCGTGGGGCAAGGAGCCTGGATCGGCTCTGCTGCCGGGCTCAGCATTACCGGGAGATCTCCGGCTTCTGCAGCGGCTGGGGCTGGCTCTCTTCCTGGGTCCGTTTCCCTGGCCCCCGCTTCCTCGGGTGGGGAAACGAACTTCACAAGGTTGCTCCAGAGCCTCTGCGCTCCCCCCTGTCCCCAGCGCTGGCGCGGGGCTCTTGGCGACATCTTTTATCAGAGCAGCGGTGTAGTTGGGAGAGATACGAGATGAGCTGTGGGGCACGCGATGCCCTTTCTCAGGCCCGGGAGAGGAGCAGACGGGGCCCGAGCAGCATACCAGGGAGGCCGGTTACTGTTTAACTTCTGCGTAAACGGGAGCTGTCCTTTGAAGGAGGGGAAGACGGGCCCAGGGAGAGACGCTGCAACGCACATTTTTGGTTCAGGCCTGGTGGCGCGGCTGCAGCTCCATCCCCTTCCTCTTCTGGCACGAGAGGCAGGCTGCAGCCGGGAGGCAGAGGGGAGGGGAGGCCGACTTTTATTACTTTGCAGCTCGTCCCTTGGAGAATGAATGTCAGGGACTCGGCTGAGCTCTCCACCTGCTTTACAAACAGCAGATAAGAGCTCCCTAAACTACCCGGCGCAGGCAGGACTGGCCTCCCTAGCGCAGGGCTCGCTGGGCAGGGGCGTTGCTGTTCCCTGGGGAGAGGAGCTGGCTCTCGAGCGGGGCGCCAAGTTAAAGCAGTGTTGAGCGGGGATGCTGCCTTGCGGGAGCTGCAGTTTGGATGCCTCTGGCTTCCCCTTCTCCTGCCAGCCTATATCTCCCAGGGTGCGCCCTGGTCTTGGGAGCTGTTGCATCTTGGGAGATGTAGTCCAGCCAGGCGCCCAGCCCAGGAGAGGAGAACGGGGCATGGGTCAGCACTGCGATGGCCTCGCTACGGGGTCGTATGCGGGACACCCCCTGTCTGGCCCCCCTGTGAAGGAGAAGGGGCCACGTCCCATGGGTCTGATGGCTCTGGATTCCCTTGCATGGCGTGGATCTGTGCCGGGATCCCCATCAGTTGGTTGACTTGGGTGCGCAGGATGAGCATTGACTCGTGGTCCAGAGTCCCCCGGGTCCCGGGGTGCTCTCGCTCCAGAGCCAGCTGGCCCACCTGGGTATCCAAAACTGTCTCTGGATGCCCCTGCGAGGGGCTGGAAGGGAGCGGGACGACTGGGACCTCCTGCTACAAGCAGCCGGCCGAGAAACCAGTGGGCGAGTGGACCCTGTGCAGGCGACTGGCCCTGACCCGCTAACTCCCACGCAGGTGGGCTGGACCCGGATGAATCTGGCTAAGAAACTCCTCGAAAAGCCGAGCCAGGTGACTTTGGTGCTGAAGAGGATTCCCCTAAGCTTCCTGGGGTCTCCTCCATACCAGGTGAGTGGGGCCAGGAGTCCCCACATCCACAGCCGGCGAACCCAGGCGTCAGCCACTGGGTCACGTCAGCAGCGACTGGCCTGGCCCAGCGCAGCCCGGCCGGGCGCTGTGACGCTGTGAAGCGCCTGGAGGTTTGCGGCTGGTTTGATGCTCAGATGCTGCCGGGTCAATGCTCCAAGAGCCCTAGCGAGGCACCAGCGCCGCAGGGGCGGGGGGGGGTCGTGGCAATACAGCGCGTGGCAGGGAGCTCACCGCTGGCTCTTCGCAGGCCCTGGAAAGCTCCGATGCGGCAGACTCTTCGGGCTCCAAAGGCAATGACTCCCCCAGCACTTCAGTCTGCCTGCCCTGCAGGTAAGAGCCTAGAAGTGGTGTCTGAAAGGGCGTCGCGCTGCTGGCTCGAGGGCATCGAGCGTGCGAAGACGAGTTTGTGTCTGTCAGCGGGGTCTGCCGTCTTTGCATGTTCTCCTGCCCCCCGGGAAGCTACAGAGCTTGGAGCCTAACAGGTGCTAGAGGCGTATTTTGCTGGTGACTCCCCTGGCCCCACTCGGCCGGTGGGTGGCTGGCCCCCTTTGCGCTGTTTACCAGAGCGCCCCAGGGAGTAACTAGGAATAATGGGTGCAAACTAGTAGAGAGTAGATTTAGGTTAGACATTAGGAACAAATTTTTTTCCAGTAAGGGTGGCCAGAGTCTGGAACGGGCTTCCACGAGAGGTGGTACTATCACCTAACTTGGGGGTCTTCAAGAGGAGGCTTGATGGTCACCTGGCAGGGGTCATCTGACCTCGGTCCTCTTTCCTGCCAGGGGCAGGGGGTCGGACGCGATGGTCCATTGGGTCCCTTCCGACTCTATAATCTATGGAAACCCTTATTGTGGCAGTGCCCGCGGGTCCTGGGCTCGCTGGCAAGGAGCAGCCCCACACGTTCCCCAGGTTCCTGCCACGTTGCCTGGCTTTTGTGGACCTTCCTGTTTCCTTGGCACCGTTCCCTTTGCGACCAGGGGAAGCTCCGTGCACGGGAGGCTTCTGCAGAACCCGCTGTGGTGTGCGGGGCAGAGCGAGGAGTTCCTGCAGAGTCGCTTAGCATCCCAGCAAGCGCCTGAGCTCGATGGCCAGCTCCCCCTCACGCCCCTGCAGCCAGGGCCGGCGGGCCGGCGCGCTCCTGGTTAATAGCAAATGCACCGAGGGGCAGCTGTGCCTGGTGAGTGCTGTTCAAAGGCTCCTTCTCTCCTCAAGCGTGACGGCCAGCCAGGAGCCGGGGCCAGACTCTGCGCCGGGAACCGCTGCTGACGGCGAGGAGGGGCTGGCCCTGCACCACCCGGAAGAGGACGCAGGGGACCTTGTCGGGCGCCCCGGTGAGGAAGGTAGGAACAAGGTGCCGCTCCGGGCTGGATCAAAGGCTTCCCCTGTTGGGGTACTCTGCACGTGGCAACGAGGCGACTGCTGGGCAGAGCCCGTGGCTGACTCGGCTCTTCCTTGCCGGGCCGGTGCTGTGCCACTGACGTAGGTAGCGATGGGGCTGGTGGGAGCTGCGGGGGCACGGTCTGCGCCCAGGATGGGGATGCTGCTCCTGTCTGACTCACCGTGGGGCACTTGGCAAGGCCCCCCAAGCTCCAGGCTCCATTTCACGCCTGTCGTGCAAAGCTGGAGCTGGCCCAGGGGCTCCGGGAAGACCCTGTGCTGTGTGGGGCAGGTGGGCATGCCCCGTGGGTGTGGGGGCAGCCTTCCCCCCCCGTGGTGGGGTCCTAACAGGAAAGGAGGGTGGGGGCACGTGCTCAGATTGGAGCAGTTCAGTGTGGCTGATGTTTTCCACCTCTGGTGCTCCGGCCTGGAGCCCTGGGGTCAATGGCACTTGCTTTATAGTGCAGGCTCTGGTGCCATGCCAGCTTCCCTGAGCAGACAACCTGACCCATTGCCCCAGCATGATGTCCCAGGAGCTGCCTGGCTCTGCCTTGATGGCTTGGTCTTTGCAGGAGCATCTGTGGGAGAGAGCACAGCTGTGGGGACGGACCTGGAGGGTCCCCTCTCCCCAGCCAGACCCAGCACTTTGGCCCTGGATCTGGGGCCACCGGGATCCCCAGGGAACAGGAGCGGAGGCAGGAGTCCGGGCCTCGACCCCTCCGACCAGCCAAGCCAGGTGAGAGCGGGCAGGCTCTTGGCATCTTTGGAGAGAATAGGCTGCCGGCGTGCAGGGGGACCCTGTCCTCGGGTCTGCCGAGGGGCTGAGATGCTGGGCCCAAGCTCCCAGGGGCCCTGGGACGAACCCAGGAGCAGCGTGCGGACAGGTAGAGAAGTGGAGCCTCTGGTCCCAGCTCTGAGACCAAGCAGCTCCACTAAGAAGTACAAGGCTAGCCATGCAGTGGCTGGTGTCTGTGAGGGAGATGTAGGGAAACTGGGGCTGCGTGAGAGGCATCTAACCGGTGGACCTCACCGCTGCAGGGCAACTGAAGCAGGCTGGACCAGGAGTCCCATCCCGTCCCGTCCCTTTGGGGTGGGTTTTCCAAATACTCTTGAGCAAGAGGCCGGTGCTGGGGAGAGCCCTGCTGCCCCCTGCCCGGGTCTGCGTCACAGATACCTTGAAGGTGCCGTTCATGGCCAGGATGCATCTAACCACAGGTCCCCCTTGTCCCCTGCAGGGCAGCCCGGAGGGTCGCTGCAAGCAGAAAGGTGAGTGGCGCCGTCCTTCCCTCGGGGGCTGGAAGGGAGATGCCTTCCCAGGCTCCAGCGTGACCAGGAGACTGGGCTTCTCCCCGCTTCCTGCCACACTGAGCTGTGTCCTGGGGCCTGAGCCCCTCTTGGGGCCTGCCTGGGTCTGGGCTATGTGGCCAGGAGCAGGGAAAGGGAGGGCAAGGGCTGGGATTCCCCAGTGCCCTGTCCATGGCTGGAAGACCCCGCTCAGCGTACCGCAGCTCTTTCCCCTTCTCCCGGCTCGGGGCTCCCATCTGGGACAGTCTGGGAGTGGGTCTTGAAATAGGGGCCATGTCCCCACTGGGACTAGGCTGAGGACTAGCAAACTTATTACCTTTTCTTGTTGCACGTGACTGGAGCATTGATGCCAGGGTGGTCGCGCAAGCCCCATCCCATCCCCCCCACCCCTCCCCAAACATAGCCACTGAGCCAAGGGATGGGGGCACAGCTGACCAGGTAGCCCCATCCTAGACGCGCCCCTCTCCCTCCCATGCGCAGGAGTGGCGACCAGGCTGAGCCGCCGGCGGGTCTCATGCCGGGACCTGGGCCGGGTGGACTGTGACGGCTGGCTCCTGAAGAAGAAGGACCACGCGGGCTTCATGGCCCAGAAGTGGAAGCGGTGCTGGTTCGTGCTCAAGGGCCATGCACTCTACTGGTACAACCACCCCCAGGTGAGTCAGGCCTGGTGCTGCAGCCGGGGTTGGGGAGGGAGGCAGGGGCATGGAGAGATGAGTTACAGCTCCCTGTGCCCTGACCTCATGGGATGCCCGGACCTGCAGGCGGCCTGGGAGGCATCTATGTTCCTGGCTGCAGTCCTCCTTGGGCCATAGACACAAGTGACTTGGTGGCACGTGCTCAGAGGTGACACATCAAGAGCAGGGAGCAAATATAACAGGCCTGGGAAGAGGTGCACGTTGCAGCAGCCTCGGCAGGCAATTCTTGCCCCCTATGTCCTGTTCCTTTGGCTCCACCGCCCCCGTCTTGAAGACGCTGCAACAGTCCCTGAACACTTGAGTCTTTGGCCCGTGGCCGTGGGGCTCCATGCAGCATCCCACAGCTCAACAGATCTTGCTTCTTCCCACAAAGAGCAGTGGGCAAAGCCGTGCCTGATGCATCTGTTGTATCCTCCCCGCAGGATGAGAAAGCTGCAGGCCTGATCAATGTGGCCACTTACAACTTGGAAAGCACGAGGGAGCTGAAAAAAAAATAGTGAGTTGGGGAGATGGGGGACAAGAGGCCTGGCTTGCTGGAGACAAACCTCCACCTGGCAAGCAGTGTGGGTGGCACCTCAGTCCCTGGCACTGGTGACTGTGAGGTGGGCCATGGTTGCAGTTTGTGCCAAGCCACTCCTGGATATAGTCCAGGCCCAGTTTCCCCAGCAGAACCTAAGCATGGGTGGATCCAGGGTGTTGAAAAGGGAGGTGCACCCTCCCCATATACCGCAACACGTATTTTTCTTCAGCTAGAAAGAAACTAGAAGATTTACTAGTATACCAGGGCCCCTGGGCTCCATTATTTAGTTTAAGATATGAACAAAACCAAGTATAACTTGATTGGAACAAGGGTAAAAACAGCTGGCGGGTCTGTGAAATAGGAGCTCTGTGACCAGGATCATCTCACAGACGGCAGAAGAAAGGGCAGCTCGATTCGTGGGATATCAGTACTATTACGAAGCAGGGGGGGTCCTTAACACCTGTGGGATGAAGAGTTTAGAAGGAATTGGGTAGATGATGATGAGCCGTGAAGTCCCTCACTGCTGCCTGAATGAAAAGCTGTGGCCCCTGCCAGGCAGCTGGTTTTAAACAGTGGGTGCAGCAGGAATCAAAGCGGGGTGCGACTGCGCCAGCCGGGATCTGCCCCTGGGGTGGAGCAACGGGGCCAGAGCCTCAGCTGGGGGGCGATCAAGGACTCCCATCCCCGCGTTTCAGGACTGCCGCGCAGCTGGGCAAGCGCTGGTCCTTGTCTCAATTGGGTGAACATGGAGGGAGAGCTGAACTTGGAGTGCTACGAGGAGCAGGCACGGGGTGGGCACATGCGGGGCACATTGTGATGGAGGGCAGGGGGGTGCTTTGGGGTGGTCCTGGCAGGATGGTGGAGGAAACGGCTGCATTTTGTGCTTCCAGTGTCTTCCAGCTGTCCCACGAGAAGTACAAGCCCTTCGTGTTTGCGGCCGAGACCCTGTCAGACCTGAGCATGTGAGTAACCGGGTGGGGCAGACCCAGGCTGTCCCAGCTCAGAGGTTGGGCGATACCCAACAGCGATCTGCAGAGATTACAACCAGCGACCTGGACGTGACTGCGGACGGGGCTCCAGGGCGGGCGCCGAATGTGCTCTGACTTGCAGGCTGCGGCTCCGGCTAGTGTCTGCAATGTCCTGTTGGCAGCCCCGCGGCGCTGCCTGGCGGCTGCAGGACAGGCATTCGGGCACCCAGCTACGCGGGTGGGTTGGGTGGGGAGGGTAGAAGAGGGGTTGCGCACTTGCTCCCCAGTGGCCCATAGGAAGGCCAGGCAGGGGCGCGTGGTGCAGGGCTGGCTTCTCCCACCCCCCGGAGGGCTGCTGGGAGGGGGGATCTGCAGGCTGGGAGAGGAACCGCTCCGCTCACCTTCCTAGGTGGGTGAGTCGTCTGATAGCTGCCAAGACCAAATACAACCTGGCTCACCAGTCGCTACCGCACAGAGAGGAAGGTAGGAGCCTGGTGGGTCAGGATGGGCCCTTTCCTGCTCCCCGTCTCTCTGGCAGCCCCCCCCCTTCCTGGCCTGGACCTCGCCCCCGCCAGGCATCTGTGGCCAGACTCCCTCCAGCATCAGTGGTGGATGAGAAGCAATGAGGTCCAGTGGTTAGATCCCAGATCGGGGTGCCACGAGGCTCTGCCCCCTGCCCCCCATTGTGGACAGCGGCCATACGCTGGGGCTGGCCCCAATGGGAGGGGCTGGGGGAGGCTTAACCCTTTCAGCCCCAGGAGAAGGGGCAAGAGAAGGGTGATGTGTTCTTGGCCCCGGGCTGGCGGATCCCTCTCTGTCTCCCTCTCCAGACTGCTACAGCGAGACAGAGGCTGAGGACCCCGACGATGACGCCCCCAGACCCAGCTCTGAGCCAGTGAGTGCTGGCAGCAGGACAGTGTCACTGCCGGGGGGACGGAGCTAGGGGGCACCCCCCTTTGTGCAGGGCTGTTGCCTTTTTCTGTTGTGAGGTTTTTGGGGTGCAAGGGCTCCAACCTCCCCCGGGCTCCTTGCTGCTCCACTTGGTGGTAATCGGGCATCGTTGTCTTCCACAGCCAAAGCGCCGGGAGCTGCAGCGCACCCTGGAGAGACCCCAGCCCCTCCCCGCAGTGCGGAGCAGCAGCAGCTCCCCCAGGCCAGCAGGGAGCCCTCTGGGCAGCCCCAGCAGCACCGCACCCCGCTCCCCCCTGGGTAAGACCAGCCGCTCCACCCATCCTGTGCTGACCATTGCTCCGGCTTGGGGTCCCCATCACCCCTTACTGGCCAGTCTCTTCTCTCCAGCCACCTTCATGCTTCAGCTGCCTGGGGTGCAT